GGGTTGTGGCCGCCTGAAAGCCGGGGCGAGTGTGAACAAGGCTGGCACGTCCCAGGCGCGCAGGCGGCGAGCCGGGCCAGTGGAAGACACTATTGCATGTCTGCTTTCCCCCTTCTTGCCTACACCTTACCAAGCACTGCCTGCAGGGTCCAACCCCTGCTTTTGCCTGAGCCTTTTCAATTGATGCAGCTCCATACTCCGGCCAGCCTGAACCCCCAGGAGCCCCCAGGCTGGGCTGTGTCTGTCTCTCTGCACTTCCCAAAAATCACCAGGCTCAACCTGCTGGTTTGAGTTCAAAAGCAACACAACTGCGACACTTGCACTTCCCCATTTGCTGGGACACCCATGTGGGCTTTAGCACAAAGGAGAGACCCAAGGAGCTGTTGGGGTCCCTGTGACCCTCACCACTCCCACGCACTGCTGTGAGCGTGGGGGAGCACAGCCAAGGCTGACACAGGGCTGGGAGGGTTGGTTCTGCAACGCTCCAGTCCATGGGCCATAGGGATGGGAAGAGAAAGCAAAGCTTTGCTGAGCACTGTTTAATCTAGCAATGACACTTCTCCTTCTCGTGAGCACTGGGGGTACATCCAGGGCCTGCAAAATGGGGGCCAGGCTAAAACCCCACCTGGGGAGCGTGGATATGGACCCCATCATCACCCCCGTGCCAGAGCAGAGCACAGACACTACAAAGACATTACCCACACCCAAACCCCACTCCTGCAGTGCCTCAGCACAGGATATCCATGAGGTGAACTGGGGCACAGCAGTGATGGAGGAGCTGGGCTATTTGTGGCCAGGGACCATAAGACTAAAAATTCTGAGCATCGTGGCCTGCCCCAGCCCCGTTGCAAGGGATGTTGCAGGCAGAAGCTCCTTGCTGCAAGCCTCTGTGAAAAGAAGCAAACATAGCACTGCCCTGTTCACCTCCCAGAGGACAAAAGCACTCAAGGACAGCAAAATGCTTCACCTGGGGATGGTTCCTCTGCAGCACGAGGGAGTGCAGCTCAAAGGCTCAGCGCTCCTTGCCGGTACCACAGATGCAGCGACAAGCGGCACGTGCCCGAGCCTGAACCAGGTCTGTGGGCAGAGCTGCCATAGCTCTGGGCAGCAGAGCAGCA